TAAATACGATGCCGCGTGTTTCCACTGACTGGTGAAATTGCCTGAAACATAAAATAGCATTAAACAGTGCGCACAAGAACACTGGGCTTTGCTGCGGCCAGCCTTCCGGACGTCGTTAGTGATTGCCGGTGCGGGGCCGGGAGACTTTTCGAGTTCAGCTCCGAGATGAGCGCTTTTACTTCAGCTTCTGTAGTGAAACTCGGCTCCGTCGGCTGGCGCGTGCAAGGCCGCCTACCTTTGTTGCACTTCGACAAACGTGCGCATCGGGCGGCGCCTCCTGACACGGGCTGAAAAACTGAGATTCTAGGACATTAGCTAGGAGTTCCGCCTTCTCTGCATTGGATCGCGAGGTTCTCCTGTGCTGTGGTCTGAAAGCGGCGCACCGTGATAGGTTTCCTGGGAAAAGCATGCGTGTAACGCGCCACAGTGATATTATCTTCAGGTTTGAGACCTGACAACAATTTGGCCCATTTCTGATTGCGGTATTCAGCGCTAGTCCGATTTCTACTTTTGGCGTTTCAATTCGATTTAGCTCCCGCTTATCCAGACTGATGTCGCGTGTTCTGCCACAAGTCTGCGCGCCCTGTTTTTCCTAGAAAATTAAGTTTACAAGGTAAGGGTTAATGGTTTGCTCCTTCTTAGAGGAACGCTGCTTCTCCTGCTGCTGCCTTTAGGCTGTCAGTCACAGCGTCGGCGATTTTTCTGCTCAGCTATCCATATCTGCCTGCGGTCCGTCAGGCGCGACTGCGTCTGGTAAAGCGCATGCTGCAGGGCCGTCCTGAAGATTCTTCCATCACGTGCGCGCTCTTCATGCGTCGTTGGGTGCATCGACAAAGCGATCAGGCCGCCGCCGCCTCAATACCGCTATCACTGGGAAATGTCAGAGAGAAGTTCTTGGATTGCGTAGTTTAGGTATAATAGGAGTAGGTAGTGGGAGTTTCTTGTAAAGCAGCGATATCTTTAGCTGTATCGGGACTGCAAATTCGCTCTGTAGGAATATGAGTAGGCTACCGGGGCGTATGTTCTGGTGCAAGATCTCGCAGCCGTTTGCCATCCAGCAGTTCTTTCAGCTTACGCCCGGAGCGGCAGGAATACGCCGAACTCGCAGCCGTGTGTTGGGCATTAACAAAAATCGCCAGCCAGCTATTGTGGAGTTGTGGTTAGCCCTCTACTAGTTTTTGCGAAATGTCTGCGGCTAGTAGGGCGCACGTTTCCGCGCTGCGAGAGACAGACTGGAGCGTGCACTAGATAGACACGCGCGAGTCGCAGCGGCCCTCGCTTCCCCGTTACGCTCTGAACGAGCGACCACAAGCAGTGCGCCTCGGCAGTGCGCTGCAGCTGCGCGGAAGTTCCTGTCAACATAAATGATTGTATAGTTAGCGGCTAATTAAAATACGGCGTCCGCCTCCTCTGTTGCGGCAGTCGAGCGTTGCTGCCTGCGCGCGCCCTGTCGGTTCTGTAGCAGCAAGAAACTGAATAATTTAAAGATAATCGGGGACTGAGCCAATTGTACTCTCCCCCAACATCATGAACTGAATCATGGATGTGTACCAGAGGCCGAGGAAAGCGTGTGTAGCTCTGACTTCTTCTCTCGCCGAAGCAGATGCCGTTACAGTTCCAAAAAATGCTAACGCATGCCCGCTAGTTCCTGTAAAAACGGAGCTAGCCATTATTTAGGTTGGAGAACGGAATGTGTCGCACTGTTGTTTGCTGTGGCCGGAGCTCTTCCTCTATGCGTCCGTTCCCTGTGACGGTCACGGAGCGAATCAGTGACCAGTGACCAGAAGATCGGGGCATTGTTCTCGTGGCCTTATATAGGCTCTTTGGCGCTACCTGCTGCCCCCATTGCCTCCACCCTACCGCTGCCTTACCACGCCACGTCCACAGAAAGTCCCAGTGCGTCATCACTCCGCCCTTTGTTCCGGCGATGCCCGCCGCCTGCTAGCTACGTGCTTACCCGTGCTCCGTGTTTTAGCGCGACACGACGCTACAATTTCAACGGCTGAAAAGGCGGGAAAGAAACGTTGATTCATCCAATCACTCTTTGCCATCACTACTTACAAGCTCTTTCGTACACATCACCGTAATAGCAGCGAATGTCATTGTTCCGCTCGGCTGATCGACTTCCCTCAAAGGTTGACTTTGAGATCACGGCGGTCAGGCCAAGGCCGCGCGGTTGGAGATACTCGCCGTCGGAGGTGGGTGGCCAGGGAGCAAAACTTTGCTCACCTGGGCAGGTTGACGCGTCCAAACAATGCATCTCTGGTATTGATGAGTAAGCGGTTGCTGTGGTTCCCGAAGTGACTTGCGCATGATTATGTCAAATACTGGCACAGAATAATTTACCACGACTGCTCGTAACAATTTTGGAAAGCAAAGGAGTACTGTCCTTCAGATTTTACAGATTGCATGAATTGGCGAAAGCAGACGCGGTAACAGAATTTTATAAAACTAACGGACTCACTAATGTAATTAATTTAATGAAAAATTACTTCATTCACTAAATTGAAGCCAAGCACGGCACATAAAATAATGTGAACCGATAACACTGAAGTTCGAAAATTTTGTAAGTGCGAAGTTGCAAAATTAATCCAAGTGGCTGCGCGCAGAGGTGCGAGCGTAGTAAGTGATTAGAAAAAGCACGTCTGAGGCCTCCAACCTCCGCAAGTATTCTCTCCCGTCTTTCTGTCCGTCTGCGCGCTCGCGCAAGCGCCCATGAAAACCAGTTCGCCCTCCCAGAAGTTCCAGAAAGTTCTCCAAAATTCACGAACCTAGTCTGTGATAGGCTGAAGTAAAGTGTGCAGTGAAAATCTCTTGCCTAATCACTGAAGGCATTCGAACAAGGAAAACCGAGTGGAAAATTTCCCGTATCTTCCTATCTCATTTCTCTTTCATTCTCTGCGTTTACGCAAAACCCGTGTCTAACAGCGTCGTAGAAGTACAAGACTTTGTAGGTCAGGGCGAACATAATTCCTTTTGCCACTGGATGGCGCCAAGTGTCACTTTCTGTAAGGGTGCTTTTCGAAAGATAGATAAACGGAGTAGTGGACGATCCCAAGGAAGGTCTGAGTGGCCGTAGGTTCTCCTACAGAAAAAGTGCGTTGCAGCTGCGCGTAGCGGATTGGAAGGAAGGGCGTCGTGTGCGCGTTGAAAAGTCTTGGTGCCGGTAAGGCGCGCAAGGGCTCTTTGTGGCAGGCTATTACAAGAAAAACTACCGAAATTAATAGTATTTAAATGTACCGTATTCGGTAACGCCAAATACCTTGTTGAATGTTCACATGTAATTCGATTCCTTTCGGAATCGATTCTCTTCGTTCGATTCAATTCTAAAATCGATTCCAACTTTTCGATTCTAGGATTGATTCCTCTACAGGAATTCCCCACACGCCACTGCTTTCTGCCCACTGGCATATTCACTACAATCGCCGTTGCTATGGGCAACGGCAAACAGCGGTATTGGAATGAATCAAAATGCATTTGAAAGAAAATTGTTAGGGTTTTCAGAAATATTTCATTCATTTTAGTTATAAATAATTATTGAAAAATAATTAAATTCATTTTAGTTCATTTCGTCACCGCTTTCAAGACATTCCTGAAAAACTTAAAACGGGGAAGCTTATATTTCGATTATACCATGCGTAGATTTTTTCCAAAGTGAAGAAACCCCTGCCTACCTGGTCAGAGTCAAAGCTCTGCAATTTTCAAAAATCTTCTTAAATTTTTGGGGGTATTTTACATCAAGCCCCAGTGACAATTTCAAAATTTTCTATATAGAGTAAAATACTCTTATGAAGGTGGCATAGGTCTGATTTTCACTGTTAACTATGAATTTTTGATAATTACAAAAGTTCTTCGGCGACTTCCTACAAAATTGAAAATAGAGATTATTCTTTCAAATGAAATTTGTTGTCCATAATTAGTTCATTCATTAAGATAGTGTGCATTTATTGGAAAAGAAAAAAAAAGGAAGAAGAAAAGAAAAAGTAGTTTTAGTGCAATCTTGTGTGCAATATGTGCACTTATTAAAAATAACATGAACAGTATTTTCGCAAAAACGGCTCCAATGTTTTTCTTCAAACTTTTCGTACGGATAGTGCTAATTGCAAGGTTTAAGATGACAAAATTAATTTTGTTGTATTCTTTTGTTTATTCAAAAATTACAGAGATGTAATTGTTTTGAAATATCTATCACGCCATTAATACGCTTATTTCCAGCAATTTGTGTATACTATTGTATTTGTGAGTGGAAGCGCTTCAAATGACTTCTGATAAACTTTTTCGAAAACACAAAAGATTTCTGTGAAAATGAGCTTAAAATTTACAGTAACGCTTGAACAATTTTTTCGTAAAAACGGCTCCAAATTTTTTAACCTCAATTCCAATATTCTTAAAGTAATTTTTCGATTCTGTCATTATAGAAAAAATGAGCAAATGTTAAAAAAAATATGTTTGGGCGGCGATAGAAAGCAGCTGGAAACAGGATGGGGCACAATCCAAATATAAAACTTAATATTTCGATTTTGTTAAAAGTATTTTATGATATATTATATATGTATATCTATCTATCTATCTATCTATATATATATATCTATATCTATATATCTATCTATCTATCTATCTATATATATATATATATATATATATATATATATTTTATAGTTTTCCATACATGATGGCTCTATTTTCATGAAAAAAATATAGTTTTCTTTATTAACAATTCATTTTTAAGGGTCTGTAATGTAAAATCACTGGTCTATGAAATCTCATGTAGAGTAACTTTTCTCTTTTTTTATAACATTTCGTGTACATTTTATAAAGATGGTAATAAAAATGTAATTTATTTAAAAAATAATTAATTTTGTTAAATTGAAACATTATTGATATTGGTTCAGCTGTTCTTGAGATTTTTACGAAAATTGTAAAATCTATCTTTACCATCTCGAAGTTGAAACATCTGCATTATAGGATTATTTCATTTTCTAAAATACTGTTGACAATTCATAAAAAATAAGAAGGAAGAAAGAAAGAAAACGAAAGGTTTTCATTAATGCTACATAGAACTCAATTTAGAGCAACAATATCCATTTCTAAATAAAACTTACAATAATTTTGTCAGAGAAAATTAACTTTTATTTATAAATAAATTTCATTTCAAATATTTATTCCTTCAATCACTAATGTCATTTCATATACAAAGCATTATAACCAACATCTCTTATTAAAGACCAGGCATACTACCACAAGCACATTACTTACACACTTTACAGAATAGACATTTAGTATTTTCACAACATTGCAGTTGACGAAAAGGAACAGTTTATTAATTTTTTGAGTACGTAGCAAAATTCTGCTTAGCAAGTTCTGGGTTATACTGGGAATTATACTTTTGTAGTACGACAGGTGCCTCCTTCTTTTCTTCTTTCACTTCTTTTCCTTGCAATCGGGCCAAGAGTCGCTCCGTCCTTTCTCGTTCTTCCTTTTCTCGTTTAAGCCGTTCTGCACGTAACAGTTCTAAACTTTTTCTACTTTGTATTTTTACTTCTTCATTATCACTTTCACTATTTGTGCTACTTTCACTAACACTACTACTTCTAGAGCTTCTTTTTCTTCGTTTTTTTGCTTTCTTTTTTTGTTTCTTCTTCCTTTCTCTTCTATGTATGGATTGATAATCTAAAAGCGACCTTTTTATGCTTGATGATGGTGTTTCAGATGATGACTTAATAGATTTTGTTTCAGATGGAATATATTTTTTTATGGTTGTTAAAGGATCATTCAATAACTTTGATTTAATATTTTTTTCTTCTTGAGAAGCATCATTGAATTGATGCTGAGGAACCTTGTCATACCATGGAATATTACCAGTAGTTTCTACAGTGTCTTGTCCTAAATAAGTAAGATAGCCTATTTGTTTTTCATATTTCTCTTTTTTTTCTTTCTCTTCTAACTCTGTTTCTGCATTAGTTCTTGTTGTAACAACTTTCCCTTCTTCCAATTCTTCAAAGAAATTAACATGCTTATCACTGTGACTTTGAAGATTTGATGGTGGCTCGTCTATCTGCAAGTGCTGCTCTGGAACTCCATATTTTGCTCTAGCTCTGTCCCTTAAGAGAGTCGTTCTGGCTTCTTGTTCCTGGTAACATACAAACAAATTGTGTTAGTTCTGAAGGATCAGGATCTTTAAGAGTAAAAGGTGTGATACTGAAATTAAATATTATATTCTGAAACTGAGGTATCCAAATCAACTTACAGCTTGCAAAACTCTTTTCCGCTTTTCTTCTGCTTCTTCCCTTGCTTCTAATTCATCTTTTCTAACCCGTGCAATATTTTCTCTGGTACGTACATGCCATCTAGATAAAAAAAAAATTAAAAAAAGACACCAAATTTATTATTGAATTTGGTATACAATTTATCAACATATAAACAATACATTGCCAATATTTCTAAAGACTGATTAAAGACAATTACCTTTTCTTTGGCAGAATATTCATTTCCGTGTATTAGCAATATTTAATCTAGTATTTGGGATACAATAATTCTTGAGTGCGACAGTGGCCTTCAGAATACAATTGTTACATAAATACAATTTTTTCACACACTTTCAAGTACAATTAAAAAAGTTCATCATAATTCCATCTCCTATGCTTCAGTTTACAGTTTCTACTTGTTTTTATAAGTATATTTTTATGTCGACGGTGTCCAGACCGATCAAGCCATTTCTATCTGTCACTTATACAATTTCCTTGCACCACTTTTGCGGGCCTATTTTTATTTCAAAGAGTAACTATGTCACTGTCGTATTTTGGTTATTCCGAGATCACCAATAAGGCGCGCAATGCGTTTGATACGACAGGTTGTGGCAGGGCTGTGACTTGTCACTGAAGCGGGAGGTACGATATTGCACTCGAAGTTTATCAAAGTTATATTTCTAGAAATGTTTTGGATTGTTTTGTGTTTACGTAAGATTATCTGTCGGTGAAATACTCCGTGGTGGACCCAAAATGCGCCGCAGTCTTGCGCCCAGCCGAGTACTGAAAAGGCAGTCGGGGGAGGAGGACGACGAGGAAAAGGGCACTGTACTGCTATCAAGGACTGCGAAAAGATGCCCAAAGGAGGCCGTGGTCATTTCAAGAACACCTCTTTCACCCCTTGGGTGTAAAAAACCTGTGAACATTATGGTAACAGGAGAAAGTGTATCGAGTCATGAAGAATTCATTCGGAAATTGTTGTCAAAACCATTCAAAATCCCAATTGCTAATTACCAGGGATCCAGTTTTGGTTCCAAAGTGTTAGGAATAGGAAGAACTAAGTTTAGACGTGCCTTACATGATCCTAATGAGCCAGGTGCTTTGGTTTTATATTCTCCTCCAGAACTAAGTGAACACGATAAACTCAAAGTGGATGTTGACAAACAGCTTGTTCATGTTGTTGTTGATCCAATTTTATCAAACATTCTGAGACCCCATCAACGGGAAGGTGTGAAATTCATGTATGACTGTGTTACTGGTGTTTGTATTGAAAATGCATATGGTTGTATCATGGCTGATGAAATGGGGCTTGGAAAAACATTACAGTGTATTACACTAATGTGGACACTTTTAAGACAAAGTCCTGATTGTAAACCTATGATTGACAAAGCAATAGTTGTAGCTCCTAGTAGTCTTGTTAAAAACTGGTACAATGAGATATATAAATGGTTAGGTGGTCGAGTAAACCCTTTAGCAATAGATAGTGGCTCAAAAGATCAAATAGATGCAAATTTGAGAGGTTTCATGCAGACCTATTCCTCAAGACCTGTAAATCCTATTCTCATAATATCCTACGAAACTTTTCGATTACATGCTCATGTTTTGCACCAAGGGGAAGTTGGTCTTGTTTTATGTGATGAGGGTCATCGCCTTAAAAATTGTGAAAATCAAACATACCAAGCTCTAATGGGTTTGAAAGCAAAAAGACGTGTTCTCTTATCTGGGACACCTATTCAAAATGATTTACTTGAATATTTCAGTTTAGTACATTTTGTTAATCAGGGAATTCTAGGGACTGCTCATGAATTTCGAAAGCGATTTGAAAATCCCATTCTAAAAGGACAGGATGCATGTGCAACTGATGCAGAAAGGACCAAAGGTCAGCAGTGCTTAGAAGAATTAGTGAATCTTGTGAATAGATGCTTGATTCGAAGAACATCAGCTCTTCTATCAAAGTATCTTCCAGTAAAATTGGAGCAAGTTGTATGTGTACGATTAACTCCGATGCAACAGAAATTGTACAAAGATTTCATTAGCTCAGATTCTGTGAGAAGAGTTATGAATGATGGTTCTAGCAATAAGGTTTCTCTGTCAGCCTTGTCATCTATAACATCTCTCAAGAAGTTATGCAATCATCCACATTTAATATATGATAAAATTTCAACTCAAAGTGAAGGATTTGAAAATGCACGAGAATCACTACCTTCTAAATATGATGTGAAGAAGGTGTCTCCTGAATTTTCAGGAAAAATGATGGTATTAGATTGCTTACTAGTTCTGATCAAGACAACCACCACTGACAAAGTTGTGTTAGTGTCAAATTATACTCAGACTTTGGATTTATTTGAACAGTTGTGTCATTTGCGCAAGTATAATTATGTGCGGTTGGATGGAACTATGACCATAAAGAAAAGAGCAAAGGTTGTGGAGCGGTTTAATGATCCATCTAGTCCTGATTTTATATTTATGCTCAGTTCTAAGGCTGGAGGTTGTGGTTTGAATTTAATTGGAGCCAATAGATTAGTAATGTTTGATCCTGATTGGAATCCTGCTAATGATGATCAGGCAATGGCACGAGTGTGGAGAGACGGTCAGAAGAAACAATGCTATATTTATAGACTGCTTTGCACAGGTACTATTGAAGAAAAAATATTTCAGCGGCAAGCACATAAAAAAGCTTTGAGTTCATGTGTGGTGGATAATGAAGAAGATGTAGCTAGACATTTTAGTTTGTCAGATCTGCGAGACTTATTTAAGATGGAAGAAGGCACATTAAGTGATACACATGATAAGTTCAAGTGCAAAAGATGTGTTAATCGAATTCAAGTGAAACCTCCTCCAGAAGGATCTGATTGCATTTCAGATTTATCATGTTGGAATCATTGTGCAGATAAAAAAGGTTTAGCAGATATTATATTAAAACAGTGTTGGGAAGCAGGAGTGTCATTTGTGTTTCATCATGTATCTCACGAACAAAGAGTTACACCATAAAAAATAATTTTTTACATTTTTTTGTGAAATGTCTTCAAAGTTTCTGTCAGTGGAATTTCCATGAGCATATTCTATTTTTTGCAAATAATTGAATTGTTATTAATTTTTTTATTTTATGATTCTGGTACTTTTTGTTGAATATTGTTTTTTACAGTTTTCCGTTTTATTGGACCCAATTTGAAATTATAAAATGTTTTTTTACGAATTATAATAATTTCCTGAAAACAGTTTTGTTATAATTTATAACATAGAATTTGATAAAATAAAGTATTGTAATATTGTGTTTTCGTTTCTCATTTTAACCCATTACACAAGTTAATATTCTCTTTGTCATTGATATGTTGAATGAATATTAATATACATCTTCGCCAACTTGTTATTTCTCCATTATATTGATTCGTTTCCATACAATGGTCAATTTCTTTTAGATGATGAATTTTTTGGTTTATCTTCCTAGCAGATTCTCCAAATAATCCCTTTCCCTTTCTAAAACATATATTAGATGAATAATAGGTTTGTGTCTGTGCTGACACTTGGTAGGTCACTGGATCCGGCAGAGAGTATACAGAGCACGAAATTTAGTGGTTATTCCGTGTAGCGCTGGAGATGAGCAACAAAAGACAATGGTGTTTTCGTTGTGCATGTTCCCGAATCTCGAGTAATTCGTCTTAATGGTTGGGTGCTACGACGTGAATTAATTGAGTCGATTTTCGAGCGACAGGCTTCAGGAGCCATTTTAATTACTCGAGTAGAGACTTTTATATTGAGATATTATTTACCGGCTACTTATAAATAGTTTGTTTTCTGTGTTGAACCGCGTTTATTCTTTGTGTGCTAGGTTATGTGTGTTAAGAAGAAATATATCAAAGGAATTTTCTAAAGAAAACGATTTTACAATTACTTTGTTCTTAAGCTATGGTAATTTTTTAGGTTAACCATGGCTTCTGCTTTGGAACAATTTGTGAACAATGTTCGTACCCTTTCGGCGCAAGGTATGTTGCGTTCACACTTTTGTCACTGTATGTGTAATTTATTTTATATATTGGATTATCAGTACTATCGACGTTCAACATTTTTTAATTCATAACGTATCTTAAATGAAAATTTATCTAATGTATGTTTGAAAATACGAGGTAAGATAAAAAACTAGTTTTGAAGATAAGTATTCAATACTACATTAAAAAGTATAAAATATTTTTGTCATTGACAGGTATTTTGATAATGACTATATGTTAATGGCTTGGCATCTTGAATGACAACTTCATGTGCAAATCATAAAAACTATACTTGACAAATACTACACTGGTAAAGATGAGGTTGTGAAAATATCTTCCAAGTAATATTATGTTTTGAAATTTTAATTTTGTTGAGGGTCATGTTAAGAGCAAGATCATTAGCAACTGCAAAACCGTATGCGTTGTTGATTTCATAGGCAAAAACATTGCTATAGAAGACATTTTAAATGTAAAATGATACTTTTAATGTATAGTACTGCATAGGATAAGTATTGTGGTTTCTAAGGTAAAGCAGATGACTTATTATAAACAATTTTAACAGTTTACATCAAATCATAAATTTGAACAAATAGGAAGCAATTACTCTTATTTTTAATCATTCTAGTTTTGAAATATCAATTTTTTGGTATTTGAACATTTATTTGTAACATGATTTACTGACATTGAAAATCCAAAACCGTATTCAAATTAAACAGTTCCAAGGTTTCGTGTAGAGTACTTAACAATTTACGTGAAATAATTCATAGTTTTAATACTTTGCTTTCATTTTATATGTCTGCAAAAATATTTATTGATTTACTAAGATGATGATTTCTTGATAGCATTGAATTCTTCTTCCTCCAAATGTATTCTTGTGTGTTGGTTAAATTTGTTTATGCTGAATGAACTAGTTGTTTTCAGCTGTTTTTTTCTCTTCTGAGATTGTATATTTTACTAGCAATATTTTCAGACCTAATGTTCTTGTACAATAAATGTAATTTCAGTGTGAAACTAATATTTTATTTTTAACTTTCTTGTTAAATATTGGAATTTAACTTTTTTTAAACTTTTCGAATATCAAATTTCATAGAACATTTCCGTGTATTGTTATTCTGCCCTACTTATTTGCTTGCTATACTTGTACTACTTTTTGTAATTGTGAATTCTAAAATACATTGCAAACTTATTATGTAACTTGATATTTTTATTTGATGCTAATTGGGGAACATATTTGAGTGTTGGGCTCAGTCATATTGTGAGTTACGTTTTTTTCTTTTTTCATTTTTGAATTTTTTTACATCTATTTTATCTCCAGATCTGTGCTATCTCTAGAGTTAACTGTTAATAAGTAATAATAAGTTTGGCTATGAAATTTTAAAGTGAATTAAATGATGATATTTAATAAATTTGAAATTGGAATATGCCTTAGCTTAAAAAACAAAAAGAAAAAAGAGTGAAGTGTGGAGTTATTAAAAGTATGCAAACATTTCTGTTAAAGAGAGGGGTATGTGCAAATTCTTCGTCTTGGAGGTTATATTATAGATATTGGTAGTAAACTATTTTAATAGGGCAGTAGCATAAGCAAGTAGATTTGTAATGTTTTATATATTCATTACATGTTTACTCACTGTCATGTGCATGTTGCTTTTATTTCTCATGTGCCTTATAATAATATAAAATTCATAGTAGTATAAACGTTTTGATGTTTATTATTATCATTTTTGATTATCATTGCAGGAAATTTCAGGGAGCTGTGTGAAATGTTGAATAAATCAACAGAAGTTCTCATGAAAAATGGCCAACATTTAGATAATGTTCTGGAAACACTAGACCTACAGCAACATTCTTTAGGTGTCCTTGCTGTCCTTTGTGTTAAATTTTCATTACCTGCTTTAGCCACAACTCCAGATCACCATGAACTTCTATTTGCTCAAGCTCAGGAGTTCATTATTGGTTGTAATGGCGAACAAGTGCGATTTGCTCCTGATACTTGTGAGTAATGCAGTTGGAAGATGATATCTTGATTTTCTCAATATAAGTAATTTAATAAAGTAATTTAATTTTACATGAAATAACTAAACTTGGGACTACACAATGGTAAGACAACTTACAAGCAAAATTGACACATTTACTTTTGTTTCTGCGAGAGATTGTGAAGCCATTAGCAGATGGTGCAAGCCTCTAACAAGTAGCCTATGTGCATAGAATTGTATTACAGAGCATTATATCTTTGAATGTACAAGTTCTTTACATATCCTCACATTGAATCTTTCTCAAATCTTCATTTATATTTTCTCAACTTTTGGAAGTTATATTCTCAAAACAATTAGTTCAAAAACAAAATGTGACTTTATCCTAATTTTGAATAAAATCTGTAATGTTCTGATGTATTTATTCTAAGATTTTTTTTTTGAAAATATCAGTTAATTGTATTTTTTATGTATCTCAGGAACACACTTTTATTTTAAATAATTGCATAAATTTACGTCGGGTCAAACTAACCGAAGACCTCTGGTATATATGTATATACCACATACACATATATACATTCATACTTACACATACACATACACACACACACACACACCCCTTCCGTTATATATTGACTTCATACCACTCTTTCCCTCACTTTTGTTTTCTTTTATTACCTTTATTTTCTTTCTCCCCTCTTGTTACACTGTTCCCTGGTGTACTTGGTGCCCTCATTCACTTGTTTTAAAGTTGAGTCATTCAAAGGTATGTCCAGAGCTGGTGGGGAAGGATGAAGACAATTAACAATGTTTTTTTTAATCATGTATTTAATGTATATTTGAAGTTATTAGTAGGTTATTACAAGACTTGTCTTATAATTTGAGTTTTACTATTAATTTTTTTTTTCTTTTGTAATTTTATATGTTTAATCATTGTGTATCGTATTTTAATTTATTGGGGTAATTGTTTTGAACTAATTTTGTTTTATTCTCTCTTTATTAAAATATTGTTTCAATACTCTGTTATTGAAAATAATTTTGAATTAATGTAGCACCTAATAAGGCAGTCAACCTGACTGAAAAACCTTGTGCTTTGGACATGTTTAAATAAATAAGTAAATAAATAAAAGTTTTCAAATTGAAAATGTGAACTTGATTGTTACTAAAAATAAAAGATACCTTCCCTTTACAATTTAAAGTTGGAACTAAGTTATGAAATTTTATTTAGACTTTTTAATTTCACAATGCATTGTAATGTCATTTGAAACCTGTTCACTTTTACAGATGCTGAATTATGCCACCTATTAACACACAGTCTTGTTGAACTGAAATTGCCTCTTAGAGGAATAGATTTAATGCGCCGTGCCATTAGAAAAATTCAGCTCTTTGATTCACAATTAACTTCTATTCATGCTGACTTATGTCAACTTTGTCTTCTTGCAAAGTGCTTTAAACCTGCTTTGGAGTTTCTAAACACAGACATAACTAGCATAAGTCAAGAGGTAAGTGCTGGCTTTATGAGTATTTTGTGTAACAATGCTTGATTTATTGTTTATTATTTGTGTAAAACACTACTTTTTTGATAAAGAAAGAATGTTAAGTGCTTAGTAATTATAATTGTGTAAGTACCAAGAAAATAGAAGATAATTTATATTTTTTTAATTTTCTTTTATACATAAAATCTTCAAATTATTTTGTATAGATTTTGTGGAAAATATTAGTCATTTTAGATTAATTTGAGTTATATGGTATCATAAGTTCAAATGTTTATTGAACATGTTCTTTGCCATCAATATTCAAGCTAGTGATTTCTTTCTTAATTTAACCTATTTCTCAATATTAGGTCTTCAAAAAATTTCAAGTATTTTTCAAAATAGTAGTAGTTGCCTTGTTTTCAGTTATAATGTTCGCACATTTTTTGGTATGACTGAAGTATTCATATAGAAGTAGCACTATAACAACAATAATAAATAATAATAATAATAATTACTTTACTTTCACCATTGTGCTCCACTAATTTTTAATTAATTCCATATCACACTTTTTCGGCTCAGATTAATTTGTAATTAAATTGCAATTTATTTGTCCAGTTCCATGAATGAAAGTGTATTGAAGGAAATGTTTTTGTTTTTTATAGGGAGGTCAGTTTGATGCAAAATATTTTCTATTGTATTACTATTATGGGGGCATGATTTATACTGCTCTTAAAAATTATGACAGAGCATTATATTTCTTTGAAGTAGCTATTACTACTCCTGCAATGGCAGTGTCCCATGTTATGCTTGAAGCATATAAGAAATATATACTGGTTTCCCTTATTCTTCATGGAAAAGTAAGTAGATATTTTTAGAGTACATTGGTAAAGGCTTTCATTCCTTAATTTTGTGATTGTCATAGAAGAGAAGTATATTGTTATTTTTGTGTCAATGTTTATTTAAAGCTTATTTAAATATTGTGTGTGATAGCTTGTGGTGTGTTGTTTTTTGATTTTTGTGGATAAAAGTTTTGTCACCCTCATTTGTTTGTAGGTGCTAAACATCCCAAAGTATACATCTCAAGTTGTTGGTAGGTTTATTAAACCTTTGAGTCAGGCTTACCATGATTTGGCTACTGCTTACACTACTAACAATTCGGATGAGTTGCGTACTACCATCAACAAGTACCAAGAGTCATTTGCCAGGTGAGAGAAATTGAATTTTTTTCATTATGACACTATACCTGTTTTGATAATGTGTTTTGCAAGTTTTAAAAGATCATGAATTTTAATGTTTTGTGTGTATTATTCTATGAAATTTTGCATTGAACATTAGCTTACAAAGCAATTGATTGATGCTAAGTGATGATGCTGCATTACTGGTAGTTGAGTATATTTTTATAGAACATTGAGTATTGAGGATATTCTTCTTTTGAAGGACAAATACAAACCTCTAAACAACTATTAATACAACTCTGCTTTAACTTTGAGTTTCTTTTCTTCTCTTTTAATTTATCGAAGTATCTGGTGTTGAGATATGAAACTCTTTTAAAACTCCTTGTTTATTTACAGTTATTGTCACTCAAATGTAACATATGAAAGTGATGGATCATCTTTCTTGATACTTGCATACATGGTCTAAATCAGGGTTTTCCAGGTGACTGCATGTGGCCTCAGGTGTCATTTATTGTGGCCCGCCAATGGTTATAAGTCAAAAGTAAAAGTCGGTTTTATCCATTTCGGGTGAGAACATTGTGCACATATCACATGGTCCCTGAGGGTTTCAATGCCCCTTTAAAGTAAAAATTGGTTAAGTTTAGATTTAAAGATTTTCCCCTCTTTTTTTCTCTTGTGAATTCAAAAATCAAAATCATCCCAATGTGTTCCACTGCATTATGCATGGTAAGGCCAAATATCACCCACAGTTCCAGTATAATAATTACTTTGTAAAAAGTACTTATCAAGGAAATTAACATGTGCAGACATAATGCAGTGTGTAGTTATATCTTCTGAGAAGTATTAAAAAAACCCTACCCATAAGGAAGGCAAAAAGCTACATTACTTGTGGGATGCGAGCAAAGGATCATCCCGACTTCTGCCTTAAGCGGCTAAGGGAAACGCAGATAAAACGTTGTCAGGATGGCTTAAGGCCAAACGCACACAAGGGAATAAAGCATATAATCATAATGATAATGATAATAATAAAGACTACTTATGTGATATATAATAAAAAATTATCCAGTATCAGGGTCTTGCTTCCAATATCTATAAAATTAAATTCAACATTGTTCAAAACAATTTCACCTGACACTTTTATTATAATTTTATTTAATTTTGAACAATGCAAGTATTCAGCCTCAATACATTGGCAGTTTTGTCAATCACTGAAGAAATTTCTATATTGCCTCACATCATCAGCACTTCCACAAATCTTACAATAAAAACAATGTCTTCCTGGGGCTGATGTTGCCACTTCTCCCTTGTCACTTTGCGGTGAACTCATTGCTAAAGTTGCTCAAAAACTATTAATATTTATCATAAACTACATTAAATATTATTACAAAAATTAATATCTACTATTAGAAATGAAGTAATTAAAATCTATGTAATTACTAATTAAATATTTTATTTTTAGTTATTATTAATGTTATTAAATTGTCAGTTTAACTTATTAGTATATTAATGTTACATCTAATATTTCTATGAATTAAATATAATATAAATATTAAATATAATATAAATATTAAATAATGGAATATCTCCAAAATATGTGGAGTGAAATCGTTTAAGTCTACTCTCTACAGTGTCGCTAATCTCGCAAAGGTTCAGCAGGCTGAGGAGACAGGCTCGGCCACCGCCTCTGGAGGTGGCAGGTAAAAACGCACAAAACAGTCATAAACACTCAAAACGGTCCTTGAAACTGACAAAAGACCCTATATGGGCTCACCAACAAAAAAGAAATTCTGTTAGCTGCACATACATGTAAATTTGGAACTTTTTAAAATGGTAATCTTGAACATAGTTTCAGAATACTTGAGCAATATTTTATCACCATAATAAAATATTTTTCATTGAACTGTCTCCTTAGTTGGAATGACAATACATTAGGTTGTGCCATGTCGCCACACACATTAGCCAATGTTTGTGAAATGAAATTGAATAATTTCTGCATGTTAATCACTGGCCACGCCCCTAGGTGTAATCCAAGCGGTATGGAATCAGTGGCTGTCAAAACAAAATAGTCACATGACTGATCGCTCTATACATGTGTATATTATTGACCAAAAGATTGAAATGTAAAACAATATTTTTTGATTTAAGTTAGATATCATTTAATTGATTGATACAGCAACATAATAATATTTTGATTTTTCTTGCAGGGACAGCAATACAGGTCTCACAAAACAAGTTATAGCCTCTCTATACAAGAAAAATATACAAAGACTGACCAAAACTTTCCTCACTCTTTCTTTATCTGACGTAGCTAGTAGAGTTCAACTATCTGGACCTGGTGAAGCAGAAAAATATATTTTGAATATGGTTAGTATGAGAATTTTGTATTAATCCATTAGTGCCTGAATTATTCTTATTTTCTTGTGTACCACATGCTGTGATGCACTGAAGTACAGCCACATTAACAATATTGAACATGAGAAAACATATTTATGGAGGGTAAGCTGGCAGGAATATTCCTATAAAGGTTCTAATATTGGTGTGAATTGAAATAGGGATTACATGACCATTCCTAATTTTTTTGCTGTTAGTTTACTTCTTTCAAAATACTTTCATTTAAAACATGAATTAAATTTGATATAAATTCATGAATTAAATTTGTTTAATAAATTTGTTGATTCCCCACCCAGGAGATCTAATTCTGATGAATTTTCCATTACTTGCATATCCAATTTCATCCTGTAAATATTCAAACAAACAATATTCAGGGTACTCCTCTCAGTTATTCTCGATCACCAAGGTCCATTTCATATCATTTTCTGTCCTTCTCGAAATTAATTGTCCCTTTTGTAAAAAAACATTCACTCATGTGTGTCTGCTCAGTTTGATGTTCACTTACAATTGCTTCCCAACACCACCACTCCCTGAAAGAAAAACAATAGAACTCTTGCCATACTCTACCATCAACTATTCCTTTGATGAACTTACATTTTTATTTTAAAAGAAAAAACTAGTCCAAGAAAGTTTGTTGCAGTATTTTTTTATACAATGTACTTAAAAAACTTATATTTGTGATCAACCTTCCTGTATTGTTTTCTTTTAAAAATTGACAATTCTGCAGTTCTGTTCTGAAATAATATATACATTCCACATAAGTCATGGCACACAGAATAACTAATGAATTACAGAATTATTTGTCTTATCATGGAAATAAAATTTATGCTATGAAGTAACAGTTTATTTATTTCAGTATGAAGTACAAAGAAAGTCATATAATGCTGTAGAAAAAATTAGTTATTTTTGGGGCAGAAAAATTCATATTGTAGGTCTCTGATCCTGCAAAAGTGGACAATTCTTATTCCTGTATATAGTAAATTACATCCTCTAATATGTTTTTGTAGTCGGAATCCATGTTTTTTGGGTACGTGATTCCAAAAAATTGGTTTATGGCAAAATGTATTTGTCTGTAAGCAACCATAAGCTAGATTTTCACAAAAATTGAGGTTCCTTGGTCTGGTTGATATCGTTACCCCTTGTATTGGTTTCTGGTCCTAGGACTTTTCTTGGTTTGAGAGAACCAAGTTTGTCAAAAATATCACTCAATTGAGGTTAAATATTTTGAATATAGGGGTCTTCAATAGCTCTATCTGGAAAGAAGATAGGAATAGGTTGTGTGTTGTTCAAGTATTGTAAGCTATATTCTGCAAAAAGAGTGACGTCATTATTCGAATGATTGTAGGAGGAATCTTCAAGGTGCATATTACACGTGATGTGATTGTATTTGGTCGTTCTTTTTAGATGGTGCATGCATGCAAGCCCAAATTTTCTCATAATCATTAATTTAGAAATTTTACTGTAATGCAAAACTTGATCTTCTTACGAAGGCAAAAACAAATAAGAATAAAAGTTCCCCGTTTTGCTACTTTCCTTTCGGAGATCTGTCGCAATCTTGAACATAGTCCAGTTTCCATTCAGCTTCATTTTCAAAGAATTTGTTCAATCCAATGATGTTCGCGTCCTCCACACATGTAATTATATTATATAATTGTACTACCTTAAAACATGCCCTTTACAAAATCACAATTCAATAATTCTTCATGCAGACAAAATGCTTTCCCTTTTACATCTCTCTCACACTGTCAGAGAACATTGTCTGCCCCATTGTTTCATCTTATCTGTCTCTCATCTCACACGAACTTACTCCTGATTGGTCACTGACATTTAACATAGTATCTGTTTATTCTTTGGTTTCCTGCACATAATAATTTCTTAATTTAATTTCTGCCTCGCGGAATTTGCTCATGTGTCCTTTCACTGCATTTTTTATTAAAATATTATGAATTTTCCCCACTATTATTACAACTTGTTACGTGCTATGTCCATAGCAACCGCATCACAAACTGTTTCATCATTCAATAATCATTCAAATTATAATGAATATATTTTCAGATTGAAGATGGTGAAATTTTTGCTACTATTAATCAAAAAGATGGTATGGTAATTTTCCATGATGACCCTGAAAAATACAATAGTCCTGCTATGCTTCGTCGTCTTGAAGAAGAGGTATGTACGCTGAGTTGAATTTATTATCTTTGAAGTTGGATTTGAAAATTTGCGGAGAAGTCTATTAAGAATATAATAACATGTCATGATTGTTATAGATGGCTGTGTGTACAGACTTAGATCGGAAAGTTCAATCGATGGAAGAAGATATAATGGTAAATCCACAATTTGTAAAGAAATCATGTGGTACTCAAGACGATGATATTCCCCCTGCTACAACACAAGGAACAAAAATTACCACATATTCTATGTAAATTATTTACATGCTCATTTTTTGTTGTGATTACACGATGTAATTTTACATGTTACCCTTCTGCCTTTTTTTTGTAAAATGCCATTGCCTGTGTACATAAAACTAGAAGAAATCACCTTTTCTTGAAATTCTTTTGAAGACGAAGATGAGCAATGAAGTTTCATAATTTTGCAAAATTTTTGGACTTCTTAATGCTGCATCCTTGCTTTGCATTTTGCTGCTTGTTTTTGATTCAGTCTTTTGAGCAGTATTATTACAATGTTTTGTATGCAGTTGAAATCATTTGTAGTGTCAGTGTATGGATGCAGACATGCTGTTAATCTGATCAGATATTCCGTAAGAACTCATACATTCAATAAAGAAATCAACTCTGATATTTGGGTGTTTTTATTTTATCTGCATTGGGATATTCAATCTTTTGATTATCACTGACAAACATTTCTGTGATAGCATGTTTTCTCTTTAAAATTTTATGCTCTTTTATCAAATGGTTGCCATCAAGTTATAAATAATGGTGGCAGCTGGTGCCCCAATAAACTAGGGATTGCATCTCCATTGATGATGGAAATGTAATTTCTAAAGTTCAGAACATTAATATGTTGGGAATGGGTTTTCATATAAACACATGTTTGTACAGAAACGAGATACACACATTCAATAAAATTATTTAGAGTTTACAAGACATTCTCAATAAATTGAAAGCAATTTTATTTTTCATATTTTTACATATTTTGGTATTATTACATATTTTATCTAAAACTACATATTTTTTACGTTTAGATACATTTGAACTTATCAAACAGAAAATTTCAAGTAGCCTGTTCAAATATATGTTACTACAATCATCTTTCTTTAAGGCTAAATGCTCCGAAAAATACTTGTTGAAAAATTCAATAGATCGCAGCACTATCAAAGGGGAATTTACTTTAATAGCGTCTGAACCAATGATCCGATTTTCGATCTGTAAACGGCATTTGATGCCTTTTAAAAATAGAATTTACACTACGAAGCCCTTTTTCCAAAAATCTAGCAACAATTTTAATTTGAAATTCTCGAACTTCCGATAAAAAAATTAAAAAATGTGGGCTTATAGCGCGATGGCAACATGCTTCCTAAATCGGACAAATAGGAGCGTCGTAAAGTGAAATTTAGGAAAACACATCGCCTCAACCACTTCCCCTTATTAAATTTAAAACAGCCTTCTACGCGGCGTCACCCGGACAGCCAAGATCATGCACATGACTGGCCGCGGAAGCCTACGACTTCAAATTTAAAAAAAGGTGGTAAAATAGCGGGCTGACGAGCTGCATCCTGACTCCAACCCCGTAACAAGCATCGAAATAAGATATTATGAATCATGACTTATCCCAGCTTGTTATTTTGATATACTCCAACCCCGTAACAAGCATCGAAATAAGATATTATGAATCATGACTTATCCCAGCAGTTATTTTGATATAAAAATGTTATATTTGTATAATTTTGAAGGTAATAAATAATTCCTGGTGCGTCATTTCATACAGACTTCGTAAATGAATAAAGGGTAATGATGGATAACTCCTAGATGTTTGCTTGTATTTGGAGCGTGTTTTCCCTTCCATTTTCTTTGTTTTATAAAAAGTGGATTTTCTAGAAAAAGTTATCTGAAGAAATTGCAGTATGCAAAACCAGTTGGACGTGAAACTTTCGTGACGTATCGGCCACACTGATATAAATAATATGAAACATTCAAACGAGTTTAAAAACCAAGGAAATTTCCGAGTATGGTCTTAGGATATGCTTTACGCTAACGCTTACGCGACGAAATGTAATCTACACAACTTTCCAGAGGAGATAGAAAATGAGGTTTCTTTCAATGTGAATTGTTTTTGAAAATCTTAAGAAAGCATATGCTTACATTAACATATTAAAAATATTATTTTTTTTTCTTTTTCCGGGGGATGACTTTTGTCGATTGACTGAATCACAGGTATTCATGCAATTGTGTTGTTATTTGCACAATCTTAACTGTCTCCTTTCTTTGGTAAGGAAATAATTATAGTGCGTTGCAAATCTGTTGTTCACTGTTTTATTTTCTAGATCACATTGCATAATTGTGTTAGTTTCGCCAAGATTTCTTCACCTGTATCTTTGAATAGTTCGATTTGAATATTATCTACAGCCGGAGACTTCCCATTTTTCTGTTGTTTTGTCGCCCTATGCATTTCTTCTATCTCTGGTTCTTTTTTGTAATCAACTATATTTATTTACTACTCTATTTGTAAGTTCTTCTCATAAAACTTTTTCGTGTATTCTTCCCTTCTTTTCGTGATCTCTTCTTTTGTTGTATTTATTTTGTCGTTCTCGTTCTTAACATTCGCCAAGGTTTACATTCCGTGGTCATATTTCGGTGACCTGGAAATTTTCTTAAGATTATTATTATGTTCTTCCACGTCTTCGCTTTTTACTTGAATAAACTTTTCTTTATCTTGTCTTGGTCTGGGCTGGAATACCCTACAGAGTTTTCTGACTTTCGTCTGGTCATTTGCTTTCTTTGCAGAGAAATATAATGTTTAAAAATAAAGAAATATAAGGACTCCGTTGTACATAATAATAATAATAATAATAATAATAATAATAATAATAATAATAATAATAATAATAATAGCAAAAGAAGAAAGAGGCAAGAGAAGAAAAGAGAAAGTGAAAGCCGATCAAAACAGGCCAAGAAATAAAATCCTGAACCAGGCCATCAAAATTACTGCCAATGAGGGAAAGACATATGCTGATATCCTCACAGAGATGAAAAGAGCAGTCGATCCAAAAGACCACTACACAATCGTTAAGAAAATAAGAACTCAGAAACAGGATCTACTAATTGTCCCGGGTAAAGAAGGGAACACATCATCATTTGTAAAGGCAGTCGGGGAGAGTGAAATAGAACACTCACACCAAAAACACTTTTATAAATTAGAGACATTGACGAGACTGTTTCAGCAAATGAAGTAGCAGCTGCAATCGGGAGGGTTCTAGACACACCGACTAAACAAATAAGCAACTATTGCTGACTATATACGGGGTTTGCTAGCACACAAACAGGGACAGTCTTGGTACCTACAGATCTAGCCTCACAACTACTGAAGAATGACAAGAGTAAAATAAAGATAGGATGGGTCAACTGCCAGATGCGCGAGAAGCAACAAGTAACAAGATTCCTCAAATGCCTAGATTTTGGACACATATCCACCAACTGTCCGGGCCCTGACCGTAGAAATACATGCTATAAGTGCGGAGAAACAGGGCTTCAGATAAAAGACTGCAGCAAGACACCCAAATGTGTCATATGCAAGGATAAAAAACTAAATGATGGCCACATGCTAGGAAGCAGAAAATGCTCCTCATTCGATGCCGAAATAAACAAGCAAAATAAGCGACAAAATAAGGTTCCTACAAGTTAACCTAGGAAGGAACAAAATCACACAAGATCTACTTGTACAAGTTGCAACTGAAAGAAACGTGGACTTGTTGATTGTCAGCGAACAACCGACAAAAACACGTGGTACGACATGTGGTATCAGGATGCAACTGGAAGAGCAGGCATAATAATACATAATAAGACCCTGGATATCAGGAACCACAAGAGAACGAAATACGAGTTTGTATGGCTGGAAGTGGGTAATATGAGAATTTATAGCTGTTATTTTTCACCGAATGGTAGGCTAGAAAGATATCGATGAGCTGGAGGCTAACTTAAAAACGTCTAAGCGCGAGGTATTAGTGGCAGGCGATTTCAACGGTAAGTCGTCCGAATGGGGAGAGACGCGCTCCGATAGAAGAGGAACTATCATATGTGAATTCATTGCAAGAAATTATCGGATCTTAAATAGTGGTGATGAGTACACTTTTCAACGTGGAGCCGCATCATCTATTTCGGATTAGACAATAAGCTCCACCAAGCTCCAATAAGCACCACCACATCACTGATTGGTCAGTACTCGACGAAGAATCACTGAGTGACCATCGGTACAAAGGATATTCGACTCCATTAACGGAGGGGCTGCAACATGTCAAAACGCGATATAAAGGAAGACCACCTTGGAATCCCAAAAAACTGAATGAAGACAAGGCAAAACGCTCCTTGGAAGAATCCAGGTTGCTGGTTAATATGGGTTAGACGAAAGAGGCGGAAACGCGTGAGGATATGGTCAAGGCAACGAAGGAAATAGTAGTAGCAGCAGCTTGCGACGCATCCATGCCTAGACGTATATGTCCGAAGAGAAAACTGCAAATGTATTGGTGGACACCAGAAATAGCCGAACTACGAAGGAACTGTAACAAGGCAAGAAGAATAGCGACAAGGGCCAAGACGTATCTGCACCTCAGGGAACAGTATAAAGAACTGTCCAAAAGGTTAAGAGAGAAATAAAAAGAAGTTAAGGCAGAGGTTAGAAAGAGCTCTTAGAACAGATAGATAACGACCGATGGGGCATGGCTTATAAAATAATAAATAAGAAATTCAGGATGGACTGGAAGATACCTGGATCGAATGACCCACAATGGATGAGGATAGCTATCAGGGACCTCTTTCCCCACTAAAGATCCTTGGACGAGACAAAGACAGAGCGACTTCACGGTTGACGCAGCAGATTACTTCACGATAGACGAACTGAGGAGAGCGGCGAAAAGCATGAATACTGTGAAGTCCCCAAGTTTAGATGGAATTTCCTGTGAAATACTAAAAATAGTGGCACAGGTATCCGGAATGCCTTTTGTCAATCTATAACCGCTACCTTGAGGATGGGATATACTTCAAGACGTGGAAGAGACAAAAGCTGATACTCCTTCGAAAGGGCAACAAGCCGGTAGATCTGACGTCATCATACAGATCACTGTGCCTCCTTGACACCACGGGCAAGCTGCTTGGGGGTTTAATACTCTCTAGGCTTGAGGGACTCAATCAACACGGCCTCCGCCTTGTCAACAGCCATCTGGAGATTTCTTTGGTCCAACCATCTTTTAACCCTGCGTAGTGTTTCGTTGGTCTTAATTTCCAGTAGTTCCGTGTTGTCACTATGGCATATAATTAGTGTGTCGCCGGCGTAGCCTATGAGTATGGAGTTCGATAGCAGTATGGAGTTCAGCAGGTCGTCATTTAGAGTATTCCACAGGAAGGGGCCCAATCTTGATCCCTGTGGAACACCGCACGTCATATCTTCTTCAATCCTATACCCATTAGTGTAGATTATTTTCCTCTCACTGAGGTAGTCTTCCAGGATCCTCACAAGGGATCTTTCTAGGTACTGGGGCTTGTATGATGTCTTTCAAGTTCGCAGAATTAAAGGCATTTTTGATGTCAACCGCAACCAAGGCACAAAAGCTCTTATTTCTTTTTATATTATTATATTTTTATATAATATATTATTATATTATTTTATGTTTATATTATATTTTTATATATATTATTATTTACGGAGGAGGGAAATCCTTTATGAATACCAGTGAAGCTGGTGATGCCGGACTCCCAACTAGGTTACCGACTAAAAACCTAACCTCCGTCTCTTAAACCGTGTCCTGAACGTAGAAGTAACCGATCCTGACGACCTAGATCGATCCTGAAATCGTGGAGGTATTTATTAAATGCCCCTTGTCCCGTAAGAGCCTGGGACAGGTAATAACCCACCTCCCCAAAACTTCGGCTAACCCATCTCTCGATGTTTGTATCAA